ATGATGTAGTCCATGCAGAAATAGAAGTATAATGATGTACACCTGAAATTTTTACAATATTATAAACCAATGTTACTGCAATAAACAAAAAAAAAATAAAAAAAAGAAGTTCAAAATACTGTGAAATATATAGCCCTTATAGATCAGACTACATTCCTACGAAATAAGACACACGAGGTATTATCCCACAAGTACAGTATTAATGACCAGGAATTGGGAGGGGAGTATGTAGAAATAACCCTGTATTTTATTGGACTACATCGCTTTGTACTTGGCGGAAAAATATTTGTTGAGAAGAAGAACGACGATGGAGAAAGAACAAGAAAGTGGGGTTTCTCAGCAGTCAGAACATTGAAATCTGATGCTTTGGCCCGGCTTTGTATCTCTGGCAGAGAACCACATGGCAAAGGAGAAAACCATTTTATCCTTGTTTGTCTCTTTGGTGCCTAGCATATGTTACAAAAACAGACAACAAAAGGGAGTGGAGGAGACTACACTGACTGGCTTCTGCTACCCAGATGCATTTCCGATCCTCGGTCCTGGCGTATGTGCTGCCAGATTGAAAGCCACACAAATGGTGAGTGCGTTCAGATGACTGGAGTCTTGGCTGTGTGTTATTTTTTTAATGTCAAGCACTTTTCCTCAAAGAAAATTTTTTGCTCCTGCAGGCTAGAGAATGGTGATATCAATATTTAAAGTTCCTTCTTCTTTTTTTTTTTTTTTAGTTAAAAGCCAAGTACAACACAGGCAACCACAGTTAAATTTCCTGGTAGTGCCTATGAGTACCTTGGAGCTGGGGAGGACCACCTCGGTGTGGGAGATGATTCATCATTCAGACAGCCCAGTCAGAACCTCTCTTTAAGAAAACCCCTTTGATTCAAAGTCATGGAGAAGTCATTAATAATTAATAAGAGTTGAGCATAACGACTTAATTATCGAAGACTTTTGCAAATTCAGTCATTTCACAATTCAACCACATCTAGCTTTGAATCACTTCCTGAAAATATGTTACTGTGGAAATAATTGAAGCTATTCTCATTTTTAGAAGTTATTTATTTGTCTTGGTTTTTTACATTTAGATGTGTTAATTTAATTTATGGAATTTTAGAACATATAGAGGGCTTAAAGTAATATAGCCCAATACTCTATTATTATTATTATTTTTAAAGATTTTATTTATTTATTTTTCCCCCCAAAGCCACAGTAGATAGTTGTATGTCGTAGCTGCACATCCTTCTAGTTGCTGTATGTGGGACGCGCCTTAGCATGGCCAGAGAAGCGGTGCGTCAGTGCGCGCCCGGAATCCGAACCTGGGCCGCCAGCAGCGGAGTGCACGCACTTAACTGCTAAGCCACAGGGCCAGCCCTCTATTATTTTTTCAAAAAGCATAAAACTGAAGCTCAGAGAAGTTAAATTACTAGCCCAAGTTTAAATATGTTGCAGGAAGCACTGAAGTCTTCTCAGTTTCAGCTCAGGAATCTTTCTATTTTTCTATCATATAGCTTTTAAGAGATACAGCATTTTTTCCATCAAATAAAAGTATTTTAAACTTTTAGAACTTTAATGGGAAATAACTAAATGCTTTTTGACTACATTTCAGTTAAAAGTGAATCCAGGTATTTATAAAGAGCCTAGAGATTTCAGCTTCTGAGCTGCCCCTCATGATATTTTAGACACTTCTGGTGCTTCTTAGGTCTGAAGCAATGATCTAAGTCTTGTATCCTGTAGTTTTGTGTCTAGGTTTTATAACCTGAGGACCATGGATGTCTAGAAAGGCCACGGATGGGTTTCAGAGTGTCAAGAACACCTTGAAATGTCATACCAAATTTTACACTTATGTGCATACGGGTATTTTACTGGGTGGAAACTACCCTTTTCATCATACACTCAAAGGGATGCATAAGTCCCCAGAGGTTAAAAAGCAGTGTCCTAAACAGAGAGCTTTAGATTATTTCTTTTGCCCTCTTTATTTATATTGTGTTTTTAGTTTCCGTATTATTAAAACTTGGGTGCTAATTTCTCACCCAAACTTCAAAAATAGTAACTTAAACATTTTTTCTGCCTATTTCTTGAAATCATTGTTTTCCAAAAAGATCATCTCTTAAGCTGTTTTTACGTGTACAATTATGAAGTACTACAAATGAATAAATAATAAAAATAATTTTATAATAATAAGCTCCATCCATTCTATCGATTTACTTTTTTTTTTTTCTGTGAGGAAGATCAGCCCTGAGCTAACATCCATGCCAATCCTCCTCTTTCTTGCTGAGGAAGACTGGCCCTGGGCTAACATCGAGCAGATCTTCCTCCACTTTATGTGGGACGCCGCCTCAGCATGGCCTGACACGCAGTACA